TCGCTCAGTGTTAGAGCACTTGCCTAGGTGTGATCCCTAGCACCTCAAAAAAGCAGCCCAAGTGAGCTCAGAGCTCACTGTCCTTTCTACCAGGTGAGGATGTGGGTGACAAGGGATGGGCCTCACCAGATAGCCTATGAATTTGGTGTTTGGCTTTTACCAGATACCGAATCTTCTGGCACCTTGATAATGGACTTCTAAATTTCTGTCACTTCTAAGGCACCCAGTCAATGGTGTTTTGGACACGGCAGTGCAAACAGACTGACAGTGCCCACTACGTGCTTGTCAAAGTAAGGCTACATGGAGGCACTCAGCAAGTTGTCTCAAGGAAAATCACCTTAAGATTTGGGGTGGACACCCTAAGATTCTGTGAGTTCCATCCCCTCCTTCCAAGGAGCCTCAACCAGGACAGCTGCCTGCTGAGGGAGGGGCAGGGACCATCCCCCACCCCTTTCCAAATGGAGACCCACGAGGGGAGGGGTCCAAGCAAGAGCATTCTGAGATTCTTCCTTCCTGGACATGGCCTGGGGAAGGCACATGCAGAAGGCCTTGGTTGGGCTTGATGCAAACAGTGCTTGATTTCCTGGACTAAAATTACATCTTAGAGTCAATTTTCATAAAATGTGGTGACAGATTTAGGTGCCGGGAAGATGGAGCTTTCTCAGAAGGCATAAAAATGACCCAAATGGTTAAAATCAGCTGAAACCCAACAGGCAGGGACTACGAAGAGCAGCTTCCTCCTCTCCAACATTGCCATCTGCGCCCAGCCTAGAGAGCCAGGCCCCCTGCGCTTGACTGGGCCAGGACTCTGGGAACGGGTAATTTGCTCCCCTGGCATAAACCAGCAGGGCAATGGCGGGAACTGGCTCCTATGTACTGGCAAGGGCAGCAATACATCCCGGGCAGCTGGAGTTTTCTCTGAATTCTCCACCCCCGATACTTCCCTCTGTGGGTCACACAGGGCATCAGCAAGCAGGGCCCTCCCACCTCCAGGCATCTAAGCGCATCCTCTTCCTCCAGAAGTAGCTGAAAGCCTGTGCCCTAGGCTGGTGACTCCTGTGGCTGGGCTCTGCTACCCTCATTCCAAGAGTCTGGGCATGGAGCCTGATCACCTTTTGTAAATGGGGTCAGCCTTCTTGATCTCTAAGGAGCCTCCTGCACCAGCAATTGTACCCTGTGGCTTTGGCTGTCCTCACTCTGAAGCCTAGAAACCTCCCAAGATCTCCTAGCCTCCCCTCTGCACACTGGGTTGACCATGCTATCTGTGCTGGACGTCTCTGCTCTCTCTCTGGTCTCACTCCCAGCCTTTCTCTCCACTGCTCTGTCTCAGGGAGGCTGGCCAAGTGGACCCTACCAGTGGCCCTGGATCTTTATCAAGGCACCACCAGTGGGGGCTCTAGCCAGAGATCAGAGAGTAGGGAGAGGGTGAGGTGATCTGGGCTGGTAGTGTCCCTCCAGGAAGGCCCCTCTCCTGTCTAGAAGTCCCTCCCCCACCATCCACTCTCAGGCCTGGAGCAGTCATGGCTCCCTATGACCTCCACCCTAGTGATCCACCACTCACTAGTGTCCTTAAATCCCACTGCTATGGTTTAGATCCTGAATGCTCCCCAAGGCCCATGTGTTAAAGGCTTGGTCCCCAGGGTGGTGGTCCTGGGGAAGTGGTGCAACCTTTGGGAAATGGGCCTAGTGGGAGGCCTTTAGGTCATTGAAGGCATGACCTCCGGGGGGATTGTGGGACCCCAGTCTCTTCTGCTTCCTCTCTGCTCATGATATGAGTAGTTTTGCCCCACCACGTGCTCTCACAGGAGGCTCAAAGCAACGGGGCTCATGGATCACAGATTAGAACGCCTAAAACCGTGAGCCAGAATGAACCTTTTCTCTTGGTAATTACCTCAGGCATTTCATTATAGTCATGGAAAGCTGACAGTACACCCACTCACCCCTTTCTTACACCTCCCAACTCCACGGCAAGGGGCAGACCTGCTCATTCAGGACTCCTTTGTAGTCTGAGCCGCCATTTTTGCTTGTGTGCCTTGAGTTATGTCTTCCAGTTTTTCTGAACTCAGAATTTCCAAGTGCACGCTCCAACTGCACAGGGCTCTGGCACACTGACTCCACAGCCAGAGGCCAGTCCTGCCCTCCCTGAAGGACCAGGAGGCAGATCCTTCCCACCACATTCTCCTCTGCTCCACACTACACGCCTTTGAGCCAGACAGCTTGGCTTTACATTCAAATGTCATTTTTAAAAATCCAAAGGACCAGTCAAAACGTTTTCGTCAAATGTGGCATGCTGGCTGCAGCATCGCCCGTCCTGGGCTCCTGGCGTCCCGTGCTACTCCACTCATACTCCTCTTCTCACTGCCCCTCCGTGAGGTTGTTCACACGCACACAGGACCCCTCTGATCTGCAAACGCCCGGCTCTCACTCACACTTTTGGTGAAGCTCTGTTCCCTCTTCCCCAGCCCGATATGTCCCCAAGCATCCCATAAATGCTTTCTGTTGCAACACCAACAGAGGCACAGAGTCACCAACAAGGTCCCAAACCCATGTAGGCCGATGTTCTACAATGCATATTTCTGGAGCCAGACACTTTACCTCCAGGTCTTAAGGTAAACATATCCCCACCGTACATATGCGGAAACTGAGGCACAGGCTCCCCCTGCAGAAGGGGCTGGAGCCAGGAGCAATGCACGGTGTATCTGACCTCCAGGCCACCCACCTGTCCTGCGCTTCACCCTGTGGCCAGCTGTGCCAATAAAACTTGGACAATCGGGGACCCTGAACCAAATGGAGACAAGTCTCAATTACAGAATGTAATTAACAGTGCGCTGAGCAGTGCTCTTCTGAAGAGGCCCTTCCAGACATTCCCTAATGAATCACTGGGACATTAGCACATTCCTGATGCTCATGTGGAGGAAGTCGGGCCAAAAGGCCGCAAAAGTAATTAGTTCACTGAAGTAGGCTAAACGGTTCCCTGGCAATCTGGTTTATGCCTCAGTGGGCCTCTACGTGGCTCCCAGAGGGAAAGAGGGACACCAGCCCCACCCCTGCGGAAGTAGTTCCCGCATGTTCTCCAGATGCAATTTGGCCTCTTGCTCCTGGCACGTTGGTCAGCGGCAGGAGTGGTAGTGATGGAGCAGGGCAGGTGATACGCCAGCCGGGCACCCACCGAGACAGTGAATAAAATGTGAGTTACTGAAGCGTTGGTGGCTGTTCTCATCGTGCTGTCCCCACCGTGGACTCTGGACATTGGTCATTCTGTGCACCACTTCTGCTGTCCACAGACTCTGGGGACTCTTGCGTCCTGTTCTTCCCAGCTGACCCCGCGTTGGTACCCAGGACCCCAAGAAGAGTACTCAGAGCCCACAGGTGTCCCTCCCAGCAGCTGAGGATGGACAGACACGTGGGGTGGGCTGCCAAGGCCAAGAGGGCCACAGTCTTAGTCACAGCTCCTCTTGTCCCCTCCACATGCCTCTTCTGGAAGGAGTAAGGTCAATTTCCAGCCACCGCAGGCAGCTGAGAAGGCCACAGGAAGCCAGCTTCGGCCCAAGGTCCAGGAAACTCTCACCATATTCCCACCATGGAAGAAAACAATGTCCTGCCTTCTGCCCCTTACCTCCCAGGCTTCAGCCCTGTCCTTGCTTGACCAGACTCTGTCTCTAAGAGGAAGGAAGGGTAGCTCTTTTTTTTGTTCAAACAGGAGCCAAGGGGTGCCCAGCACTTTTGTCTTGACTCCCGCCAGGTCCCCCCGTTCCTCTCCTGTGGGAGCTCACTGAGGGGGACTGAGGCCAGGGTGGGAAAGAGACAATAGCCACCACATCTTGTCGGCCTCAGTAGGCCCAGCTTCCTTTCCAGGCCCATTCATTCCTTTCACAGCTATTTATTAAGCCCCTGCTGTGTACTGAGCACTATTCTAGACACTCGAAATGGAGCAGAGAATAAAGGAGATGAAATTCTTGCCCCGTGAAGCTGACAGTGACAAGATAAATACTGAACAGAATCTGGTAGACTCAGAAAAGTGATAAGGAGAATTAAAAAGCAGAGAGGGAATGAGGAGTGTGGAGAGGTTGAGATGTTAAACTAGGGCCAGGGAAGGCCTCTAGATGGTGACAGTGGAGTCAAGATCCAAGGGAAGCATGGAGGGGCTACAGGCATCTGTGGGATGTCAGCATTAGGGAAAAGGCCCTGAGGCAGGAGAAGGCCCTGTGTTTGTGGGATGGGGTGATGGAGTGACAGAGGGGACAAGCCTGGGGAGATGAGGTCAGTCAGGTAAAGTAGTCTGACTGGCTGGAACTGGTGGTCATCGGAGGGACTTTTCCAGATGGGAGCAGAGAAGGGACAGACTTTGACAAGGTTTTAACAGGATCCCTGACTCCTGAAGGGAAGAGACTGAAGGCACCTAGGAGACACGCTTCTCCCCCTCGGTCTTTGGGGTTCTTCAAGTGTGCTCTCTCTCCAAAGGTCCCATGACATAGGACAAAGGCACAACGAGCAAGGGAAATGAGACGAGTCTGCACAAGTGGATCATCCTAGGTTGTGGTGTGGCCTGGAAGCCAGGCTGAGAAGCTGGGACTTGATCAAAGCAGAGGGGAGTCCCTGTGAGTTTCCTAGCGGGATCACCTTACTAAAGCCATGGACACAGTAGTCAGAAACATGGAAACCAGTTGTGGATGGGATGTTGGCTTATTGAGGTAGTCATGCCCCAGGCACCAAAGGCCAGAGATGTGTGGGAGCTTGCTCCGTCTCCCCAGACTGGGGCTCCTTGAGGACAGGCCATGTGTCCCTCAGACTGGGGGTCCTGGGGACGAGGAACCATCTACTCCATCTTCACTCTTAATCTGTAACAACAGGGACAAGACCACCTCTGCTTGTCCCCCAGCCCTCATGGGGGGCTTTGATGCTGCAGGTAGAACCCCTCGGGTCGGATCTCTCAAGAGTCAGAGACAACAGACAGTCAAGGACATGCAGGTGCCCCCAGGTGGGTGAGGGGTTGGACCTACCTCCCGCCACTGCTTGTTCTCCATCCCTTGAGTATACATGACACACACTGGAGAGAGAAGAGAAAAAAATGGATTAAGCCCTAAGCCAAGGGCAAGGTGGGCCCTAGATGGTGGGGGGGAGCCCTGGTTGGGCAGGAGCCTCAGGAGGCTCCAGCCTGGATTGCTCTGGGGAGGGGGTGGGATGTCTGCTGAGTGAGCCTAAGAATCTGACCTTCAAACCTGGACCACTATTGTTTTGGGGCTTTTTTTGCAGTATTGGGGAAAAATCCCTAGGCCTTGCACATGCTAGGCAAGCACTCTACGTCTGAGCTACACCTCCAGCTCTGTAACTGGTCTCCACACGCACCAGTTCACAGGAGTCAGCTTAGCAAAGGGAGCAGAACACAGGCGTGCCTGGAAGGAGCCCCCCTTTAGGATGACGGTCAGGGGCCATTTGTTTCAAGGCAGGTAGACAGGTGGTCATGACAGAGCCCAGTGCAGAGGCGAGGCAGGAACAGCATCTGAGACCCCCCCCATCCCTTTACAGCCTGTAGCCCATAAGGCCTTCTATCGTCATCAGTCCCTCTTTAGTGATGGGGGAAACTGAGGCTCAGAGGAGCCCAAAGACCTGTTAAGGTCGGGGCTAGAAACCTGCACTCCAAAATCAGGGCTGGTCCCACCTGACTGCAGCCAATCAGGCCTCCTAAATGAACTGGCTCACCTGGGACTGAGGACTTGTTGCCCCAGACCCCCCCAACCCCTCCCAACCCACTCTGTTGTGTTGAGACCTCACGAGTATGAAGGTTGGGAAGGCTCACTCCCCAGTACTCCTTCTCTGGATGCTAACAGGGACACAGTTACCAGCCCTGTACCTGGACCATGCCTGGCACAGACTTAGCGCTCAGTAAGGCTCAGCTGACTGCTGTAATTGGTCATAAGGTCCCTGCTGTCATGGACTGTCACTACTTACATGGGTCAGACTTCGAAAACATGTCTTTGTCCAGGAGGTTCCTGAAAGAAGGAGAGAGGAGTTAGCAGGGTGGGAGGGGGCGGGGCTCAGGCCTCAGGTTGGTAATGAGCCCCAGATGGAGGCTGTCTCTAGCCTGGCCTCAGGCAGAACAGAAGGAGAATGTCGCGCCTTCATGAACATTTATTAAGCTCCTGAACTGCCAGGAGCTGGGTGGCCCCAAGAGGAGGCACTCCTGTCCCACCTTCCTGAGGTTCATGGTTCTCCTACCCTTCCCCCACCATTGCTACACTTGCCCTGGTTGTTGGTACCCTGGATCCTCAGCCTCTCACTGGCCAAATCTCAATCAGCTTAAGCCCTTCCTTCCCTTCCCTGTGTGTGTATGTGTGTGTCTGTTGTGTGTTGTGGTACTGGAATTTGAACTCAGAGCTTTCCTTGTATCTACCACTTGAGCCATGCTCCCAGCCCTTTTTGCTTTTATTATTTTTGGATTGGATCTCCTAGTTTTGCCTGGGCTGGCCTGGACCACAAGCCTTCCCATCTCTGCTTCCCAAGTATCTGGGATAGGTGTGAACCACCATACCTGGCCTCATAGCCCTTTTTAGAGACTCACCTTCTATCACTTCTCTGTCTCAATCAACCAATCAATCAATAAAACGAAGCAATGAAGAGAACATCTATCCACGCCTCCCCCCAACACACACTCTTGGGGCTCCACTTAGAGTTAGCTATCCCATCACTTCCACTGTGCTGAGGAATTAATGAATGACACCTGCTGCTGAGGGGGTGCAGACTCATTTGAACAGGATCTTTCCTAAGGTCAAGGCCAGAGCTGACACATGGCTCTGAGGCTCTGGACAGGGACACTGAGCAGGGCCCCTACTGCTTGCCTCTTTCCTTAACAGGTCCCACTCACCCATTCTCGGTGATGGGTTGGGCCCAGAGTTTTGCACTTTAGCTCCCAGTTCTCACTCTGCCCTGAGAGGTCGGTGATGGGTAAGTATCACCCCTTTTAGATATGGAAGCCGAGGCTGGGGGAGCCCGGTCTCCTCCACGTGTGCTAGCCTTCATTCCAGTGACCTGGTGCTATGAGGAAGCCACACAGCCCAGCAAAGCCTGTCTGTGGCTGGGCAGCCACCCACTCTCTCCGAGCTGGTCTCTCCTCTACACCGCCTGCCTGGCTGCCAATGCCCAGCCTTGTCTCTGGACACCCTTGGAGCTCCTGGACACCAGGTTTCCTCCTGCACCAGACTGTGAGTGCCAGAAAGTCACATTCCCTTGTTGGCACTCAGCCAGAGATGGGCAGGACCTGGATAAGTCCCCAGACTCCTCCCCTGACCTGGGGTAGCATGAAACTGCTCTACAATCTCTAGAGACCCCGAGGGATGAGCCCCAGGAGTGCTAAGGGACACCTGTTGGGTACCTGTGTTGCCTTTGTCTCTGGTTCCTGGCAGAGCAGCCACTGAGTCCTTGCAGCCCCATCTCAGCCTCATCCACCTCCCTCCTAGATGTCCCAAGAAGTCTTGTCGCCCTTTCCCCTCCATTCCCATTGCCCCTGTGGGTTGCTGTGCCCCTTGGCCCATTTTTCCCAGAGCAGAGAAACAATCAGCACAAGTCTGAGTTGCTTCCTGACAGCCACCTCCACAGGTCAGAATGGGTCTCAGCCCAGGGAGCATTTGTTCTTCCCAGTGAGGGGGAGACCAAGGCCCAGGAGCGGCGGAAGCAGCTGGGCCCACAAACTGCAGAATCAGAAAAGCCTAGAAGGAGGCCTCACCCTGAGTCACCATCACCAATGCCATCCTCAGTGACAGCCTATAGAGCCACCTGACGCTATCTGGACCCTGAGGTGTGAAGCAAAGACTAAGAGACAGACAGACAGATGCAGCGGCAGCCTGGTGCCAACACACCACGTTCTCTGGTCCTGAGAAGGCCCCAGTCCATGCTCCTGAGTCACCCAAGCTCCAGTCCCAGAGCAGGTTCCCAAGTGACAGCCCCACGAGAGGGAATGCCAGCGGCTACCCCCAGCCGGCCCTCTCCGATGTGCCACAAAGCACATCATCCCTCTGCTGGTCCCCACCACCCCTCCAGGAGACCAGCCCTGCTCCATGCCAGCTGTCTCTTGGAGGCCACCTGATAAACTCCCAGGCCATTGCAGGGACCTCAGATGGAACCACGTCAGGTGGCATAGTTGGCAGCTGGGCACGGGTGAGACTCCAGGTCCATCTAGAACTGTCCCCCAAGGTTGGAACACACCTGGGCTGAGCTGTGTAGGTTTGGGGGTGGGGCGTCTGTCTTGATTTAAACAAAAGACAAAAATGCTATAACCCGGAAGAGAACTCTACTGTGGGGGACCTCCAGCCCTGCCAGGAGCTAGAAAATAATGGGGGGAGTCTCCATTTAACAAATGCAGATATTTAAGTTCTGGGGTGAAATTATGTAAGATCTTAAAGTGCTCAAGCTGGAAAGGACCTCAGAGATCACCTTTCCAACTCCTTCAATGAACATGACACTCAGAGAGAGACACAGGGACAGACCCCTCCACTGTCTGGGTCTCCTCCAGGCCAGTGACCTCAGGACTCTCACACAGCTCTGGGGCAAGGGTCATCTTGGCAACCTGCACCTAAGGATAACACAAACCCTCTCTCTTCCACGCTTCTGAAATTGGTTTATCCCCATGCTGGGGACAGACTCCAGGGCCTTGGGCTTGTTAGACAAGTACTCCACCACTGAGCTACACCCCAGCCTTTAGTTTTTTGAGACAGGATCCTCCTGTCTCATTCTTTCAAGTGCTGGGATTACAGGTGTACCACCACCTGTGCAGGCTCCCTCCTCTGCCTCAGCCCAGCCCAGCCCAGCACCGGACTCAGAGCAGTGGCCTGGCAAGTTGTGGAGGAAAAAAGGCCAAATGAAATGGCCAGGTGGGTGAACAGAGCAAGGTGCAGGGCGCCCCCACTTCTCCTTTCCTGCAGTGTGTAATGCTCAAGTGCAGACTGCAGTCAGCCAAGCTGGGTCTGAACAGATGGCTCCCTTGTGCCTCTCGAGGTGGTTCAGGGCTGCTTAGAGATTTGGTATGCAGAGCACCTGGTCCCAACTACGTTCATCAAATGACAGTGGGTCACTCCTCACCTGCCTGGGGACAAGAGGAGGCTTGGCCACCTCCAGCCTGGCTGGTCCCAGGAAGCCCAGCCCCCACCCGCACTCCCGGTGCTAATCCGAAGTGGGTGCTGATACCCATCGGCTGAGACACACGCCACATCGCCAGCTCTGGTCCCTGGCCCTCATCCTGTCCCCCACCTCAGCCCCGAGGACACTGGGCCTCCTCTTGGCCTTGACATGGTGGCTCTACCCCTGCTCCCAGGTGTAAAGAGGCAGATTCTTGGGGCTGGTCCTTGAGTCTGGTCTTGTAGATCTGGAGCAGGGACTCCTGTCAGCCCTCTCTGCCTTGTGTTTCTTTTTTTCTTTTTTTTTTTTGAGGGGGTATTTCTAGGTAACCCAGCAGCAAGCTGACCTAGAACTTGACCACCTCCTGCCTCATCCTCCTGAGTGCTGGGATTACAGGTGTACACTACCATGCCCAGCTCACCCTTGTGTTTGTGTTTCTGAGTCGTAGGGCCTGAGTTTCCCCACTGTAGGACAAGGACCCCAGCACACTCCTGTGCAGTGCTTGAAGCCCCCTCCCCCTTCAAGCACATGCTCCAGGTATCCTCACTTGACCCCTGACACTCACAGGCTCACAGACAGAAAGTGACTTGCCCCCCAGGCACACAGCCAGGGGAGGGAGGAAACCAGGTCGTGTGTCCCAAGTAGGGCCCGAGCCTGGAGGGCACGGGCCAGACCAGCCGTAAGTGCTTTCCTCCGCTTTCTGGTTTTGGAGAGCTCAAAGAGAAATTTTTTCCAACAGGCGAAATGTATTTTTTCCCCAAGAGTATAAAACCCTCAGCGTCCGCCCGCCCAGCAGCCTGGAGCTTGGCTTCTTTGTTCCTTAAATCGAGGCCGGGAAAACAGAGCCCTCACCCCTTTGCTGCCCGCTCCACACCAAGGAGCCATTTCCTGTTCAGAGCAGTAGGAAAACCCTGGGGCCTGGGAGGGGGCAGTAGACCCAGCTCCCCGACCAAGGGAAAAGTGCCAGAAAGGCAAAGTGGGGGCCCGATGGTGCTAAAGGAGGAGCTGGGGACCCTCCCCTGGAGAGTGAAGGTGGGGTGGGGGCTGGGGTGCTCCAGGCTTGGGGCACAGTCTGTCCCCAGGGGTCCCAGCACTGAGGGAGACATGGCCCTGTCCTTGGGGAGACCCAGTGTGAGGGACACACATTTGCCCATGACCTGAGGTGCTGGGTGAAGTGACACATGTCTTTGCCAACAAAGCCCCTTGGCGCTGTGTCACTGCACTGAACACTGGCCTGGCTGCAGCTTGAACACACATTAGAGTCCAGCTTTTCCTGGACCATGAGGTTGCTAAAGTTAAAAAAGATGGTTTCTTGGTGCCAGGTGTGGTGGTTCACGCCTGTAATCCCAGCACTCAAAAGGTTTGTAAGTTCTAGGCCAGCCTGGGCTACAGTGAGACCATGCCTCAAAAAAAAAAAAAAGAAAAGGAAAAGAGAAGATGGCCTCTTCTTCCCAAAAACCTGCTGGTGGAAGAGGTGTGGAGAGCAGAGACATAGAGTCCAGCACCAGCTCTGCCCTCACTGGCTGTAAAACTCCAGCAGGTCCTAGTACCCTCTGTGCTCAGTACTCCCTCGGTAAAGGGGCAGCCACGGTCCCCTCCCCGGGGGCTTTCTGAGATGAGCAGAGCATCAGAACAGGGTGGCACAGTCCATGGCAATTTAAGGCCTGGCATGAAGATGGTGAGTGGTCGTGAGCATTCAAGGAGCCTGGGGTGAATATGGCGGCAGGGAAGCCCCTCCCCACGGCCCCTAAAGCCCTGCTGGAGCGGACCTTTGGGCCACCAACATCTCTCTCTACCTTATCACTATACAGAGCAACTTAACACCAACACCTGGCAGATGGACTGAGAGGGACGCCACCGATCCAGCCCACACTCCAGGCTG